ATTCCTCCTATTATCACAATTAAGACGTAATTTTTTTGACCCATTTAAAATCACATTAAAAAACTCTACCATCTTATAATTCAATCCTAAAAATCTTTAATTGAAATCACACTCAAATTTTTTAGGATTTTAATTATCAAAATTTTAACCCCACACTAATATTAATAAATTACACTTTAATCCATAATATTTTATAAAATGATAAGATATGCCTGTTTGTGTCTCACGGTGTTATTTAACCATATCATCAAGAGTGGTGAGCCTGCTTTCAATGTATTTTTTTGCTAAGAATATGCACGGAACTAATAAAACTATTCATTGTTGGTGATAATGTTCAAACTTTACCCCTCAGTATGTAGTTTAGGGCTTTGACAATATTGTTTTAGTAGACCAGCTTATTCTTTGACCATGTATATAGTGATTGATTTATAATTGTATGCATCTTTAGATATAATTTAGGATCATAAAATATCTTACTTCGGCAACTTGCTTTTGAAAGATTAATATGATTGCTACATGAACTATCAATTAACGTTTCATAATTCTTTGCATCTCAAGTGATTTGTTGATAAGACGATCTTTGAGCTAGATACAACTGTGCTATAAAATGGAGATGAATCATTTTTAGTAAAATTGACTCACATTATCGCGTCTTATCCCTATAGCTCTTCATTCTCAGTTTTTTTTCATGTCTCTCTCAGCATTTGGTTAATTAGCTTCTTTTCCTTCTCAAAGAAAATTTGTGATCGAACAGATACTTTCTTTAGATGAAGTCTTTATGTGGAAATGTTTGTAGAATACATGTAAGTTGCAAGAATGTAGATGGTGGATTTACTGCATGTCTAATGTGAAATCCCAAGTAGGCAAAGTATCCTACACACATTGCACCTTTTATAGTAATAATTGGTGTACACGTGCTTTACAAGTGAATCATTCAGATTGTGAAATATCATCTATTAAAATCGGATATTAGTTTCCTTAAAATTCACAATTTTAATTAATATTGGTGATTAATCATTTAAAACCACGTTTTAGTGGTGGCATCGAAATAAGTGTCCCAATTCACTCTGGTCCATTAACTTCTAATGGTATCATTTAGAATTTTTTATAACCATATAAGTTATAATTTGATCACCTTATTCTTTAAGCAGGTAAATCCAATATGCATATTTTCATTACTTCACAATTACGCATTCCATCTAGTCCTCCCTCAAATATGACAACTCAGTAACATGATAAACTTGATATTTGAAAAATAACGAAAGGAATATATTGATACAAATGCAACAGAAGAAAGTGAAAAGAAACATTAAAATTTATATGCCCATTGTTGTGTAGCACCGAAAAACAAATAGACAAGACTATTCCTAACCAATTTCTTCAAGTATGTTTTGTTAAACACCAAGTACCAAATAAAGCTGTGATTCAAAGACTCATGTAACAATGACTCAAATCACAAAGAGGCCAGGAAGGTTCCACTCTACCCAACATAAATGAATGTGAAACCCTTAACTAAACACTAACTATAAGAAAGAATATTTGCTTCAAATCCAGCACACAAACAAAGAAAGCTCCCAGCGTAGACGAAAATGCTAAACATCTAAACTTCTCAACAATCTCGAACATTGCAGTCATAATTCTCACGTTAAAATAATGAATATATGTTGTTAGAACAGACGGAGTACACTAAGTTATACATTGTTGATACCTAGATTTGAGTTCATTTCATTATCCACTTGGTTAAGGGAAGCCCAAATACAACACGATTATATACAAATAGTGTATAGCATATTAACAAAATAATTTTCAGTCGACAACGAAAGAGAATATGTTTGCAGTTACATAAATGGAAAAGATCAGCACTTCAATGTGCCCAAAAGAATGTGAATTACACAAATAAGATATTATATTCTAAATTATAAGAAGTCAAGTTTCTCCATGAAAAAAATGGAGGGGACGAAGTATGAAAGTCATCAAAACTCTTGGTTATATTTTCTAAAACCTAGTTATGCAGCTTAATGGATTCTAATTAAAGCAAACTTTTATTTTTTATTTTTATTTGTTCCTTGCTTTTGTTTTTTATAGGGGGTGGATGATCCTTGGTTATACAAATTACTACATTTACCTAGCATGTTTCCAACATATTTAGGCGGTGCAACCAAAACTAAGTGTGTAATTTCTTTGCCATGCATATAGCGGCGATAACATTTTACATCCCTAAGCACAAAGTGAACTTCTCAAAAGTTGAGCATTATCATGGAATGAGTAACTTGCTTACACCTGTTCATTGAGCACTTGTATACTATTGTTGGCCATCCATGCAAGAGGAATAAATTTTGAGTAGTGCTATGTAACTCAAATTTGCATCTAAAATTAAGGGGATCATTGGATTAGTGGGTTCCATTTAAAAAAAGTTAATGAGACCCACTCATCTCCTAGGATACAAATTTGAGTTACATAATATTTTTCATAAATTTAACAGAAATAGATCAAACACATTATAATTTCAGAAAGACCTATTGCATAGAAGAGCAAAAATTATCAATACCAGTGTTAGACGTCGGGTCAATTAATAGTCCCAAGTATGTCAAAGCTGGAACTGTGTGATTTCCATTCAATCTTGACTTTGCTGGTGTTATCTATGTAGGAAAGGAAGATGATCAAAAAGATTACTTAGATCATGGACTTGACTTGTATTTCATACGACCAAAATTGCTGGAACCCCCTAAGCTTTCTCGTAGGAAAAACTGGTTCATACCACTTGGGCTGTCTGGCTCATAGTTTTGTCATGAGAGTGAGCCATTGTTGAAGCCACCTGCAACCTGCAATCAGCCATTGTTCCATGAGTTCTCTCTTCTTGATGGGTTGGCCTTCAGAAGTCGCCACACGTATAACCTCTTCGACTACAGCTTGAAGTCCCTGCTACACTGGAAATTCTCTGATAAAATTGTTGAATCTTTCATTATTTGTTAATGATATGCATGGTTATATTTGTTACGTATCAATTTGTTTATGTTGTGAAAATGCATTATAAAAAGGACCGGAGGTAATGAGGTTGAACTAAATGAATGATACATAGTTACATAAAAGATTAATTTACATTTTGATACCAAGTGTTTTAACTATACTAGCACTCACTTTAGTTTTAAAAGTTCTGATTTTCCCACTAGAGAAAAATCAAATCATACATAATCATTGGCCTTATATAATATTATATTATACAGCTCAATGCGCTCCAATAATGTATAAATCTTTATCCAAATACATTTATATTAGTCTGAAAATTTTCACAATCTCACAAAATTGGGAATCGAACTAGCGTGTCTTGCACGCGGGTAACTCGCTAGTAGTTGAATATTGATAGATGGATCTCTGGCCAGTTGGTGCTTGGCCTTAAAACTCCTTTTAACTATTATTAATATTACGGCGGATAAGCATTGCCGGTCACTAGGGAGTTACCTCTCTATCCCTTCCAAAAGGCAGCATCTTTTGGTGTAACATATAACGATTACTTATAACTCGTACCTTAAAATATAAAATTTAAGCGTCTAAATTATCGATCGTATTATATTAAATTTCTTTAATATATATTAATTATAAATTAATTAAATATTAAATATGTGATATAAATAAGTTATGTGATATTTTTAGGGAGGAAATATATAAATGATTAAATATGTGATAGAAATGAGTGATGCGATTTGACGTTTGAGTCTGACAAAGGGATGATGAGTGAGGTAAGTGATTGGTGATAGTTTTGAGAAAAAAAAATATGACTGGGATAAAATTCAAACACACTCCTATTTTATTATATAGATGTCCACGCCTTGTACGCACCCTGCCCCCTCGCGGCCTGTTTATTTTGATCGTTCATCGGATCATCAGACTCATGAACGTTTTTATTTTAATGGTTAATTACATTCAAGTCTCCAAAATATAGAGTTTACTTCATTTTAAACTTTAATATTTTAATTACATTATTTTAGTCTTTAAAGTATTAATTATGTTTCTACGTGGTTCTTCAAATAGACAACATCCAAATTATTAATGATTTTTGACCAGAAATTTATCATGTGATATTTAAATATGGACAAAAAATAATTAAAGTAACTCTTAACCAAAATTTGAGTAACTCTTGACAAAAAATGTGTAATATGTGTAGCTCTTGACAAAAATTTGAATATCTAATAATCAAAATTGTGTAATTTGAGTAGCTATTTGACCAAAATTTGGTTAAAAATATTATAAGTGTTTTTCAAATTATTTTTTTGCTCATATTTAAGTATTACGTGATAAATTTACAATCAAAATCTGTTAAAAACTTGAATTTTGTCTTTTTGAGGGACCACATAGAACCATATTCAATAAATCAAAGACCAAACTAAACTAATGTAATTGAAATATTAGAGAATAAAATAAGATAAATCTCATACTTTAAGACCCCTAATACATTTAACCCTTATTTTAATCTCTTTTCAATAGTGTTCATAGGAATGTGTGAGATCTTGGTTTGATTCTAAATCACGTAAATGAAATAAAGAATAATATTTTTGATTATTTATTTTAATTCAAATTCTAAATAATTTTCTGGTAATGCAATTTGGTAAAAGTAAAAAAATCAAAATTAAGTAACAAAATCCAATCGAAATACAATTTTTTTTTTGAAAAACATAATCGAGCCACTTGGAGGAAACTAGCACTGTGTGGCTCTGACCAGTACCATAAGTATAAAGAAATTATTGCACAATTAAAACTATATTAATTGGAATAAAATTAAAAATTAGGTAAACCTCACAATTTCAGATAAAATTTGCTAACTTGATATAAATTAATGTAAAATTAAAGAGTTTAAATTTAGCAACAAATTAAACAAATTTTAATACCGCTTGAATTCGGTACAACACTTCCCATGGTTAACTCTAGTATAACCCATTCAAAAAATGCGGGGCCCTCGAAATGTTTAACAACGATACTCCCATTCAACCATGGAGGTTCGTCTTTCCGCCATAAGACACACAAACTGTGACAGTGTGTGGTCTGCTTCGCCCCTCCCTCGTCCGAATCTATACTTCTCAGGTACTTCCTTAGTTCTTGAAGTCAGTTTGGTTTGAAATGGCAGATGAAATACCTACGCGTAAATGGGTGTTCATGGTAACGGCTCAAACGGCCACCAACATAGCAGTGATAAAATACTGGGGGAAGAGAGATGAAACCTTGATTTTGCCCATCAATGATAGCATCAGTGTTACATTAGATCCGGCGCATCTCTGCACCACCACCACTGTGGCTGTGAGTCCCAGCTTTGAGAAAGATCGCATGTGGCTCAATGGCAAGGTAAAATTTTTGAGTGTGTGTGTGTGTGTGTGAGAGAGAGAGAGAGAGAGAGAGAGAGAGGTATCCGATGATCAATTTAGAAGGGGAAGCTCAAGCAAGTAGAGTTTAATTTAGTGAAATTTGAGATACATTATGGGTCGAGATTTGCAAATCCTGTTGGTTCAGTTTCGAAACGGAACACATATAGAGTGAGAGAGAGGGAGAGATATGATGGAAGTGAAGAGGGTAAGGGTGTTGTGTATGATTTTCTTCTTTTATGATGGAAATCCATGACTAACTTAAAAGCATAAAATATAGCTTACTGTCTCTCTGAATTGTAATTGACTGGAGTTACTTTCTACGAAGAATTTCAAGACGAAGAACGTTATATAACCACCATTCTTACCTGAATTAACCATGATGATTGTGTTTGATGCTCAAGTGGAGTTTTCTGTCTCGTGGGTTGCAACTAGTAAAGGCATTTCACCTACAAAATCTATGAGTTCTATCTGTGAAACCAACGAAAAAAACAGTAGAGGAAAATAACAAACATATGATTAAGTGGTTTACAATTCCAAAAATGATAAGCTCAGGTAGACTATTCTAGAATGGTTGTGATAGCGTTGGTTGAACAATAAAAGAGAGAAAGAAAACAAAATATGAGTTTTAGATCTTTGTATTAAGCTGAGTTGAGTGGAGGGTTTTGTTTCTTTAGCTTATACAATGGAAGACATATTTACAAGATTCTTATTTTTTTTGAATTTTGAGTTGATTCCTAGTTTTCCTTTTTTGATTTTACTGGTCAATATAGGAGATATCTCTTTCTGGAGATAGATACCAAAATTGTTTGAGGGAGATTCGCTCATGTGCTAGCGATGTTGAGGATGAGAAGAAAGGTATCAAGATCACAAAAAAGGATTGGGAGAAACTGTATTTGCACATTGATTCTCATAACAATTTCCCAACTGCTGCTGGTTTGGCTTCCTCAGCTGCCGGTTTTGCTTGTCTTGGTAACTTCCCCTTCTTTTTTGTTTTACTGGTTATATAGTTGATGCTTGAATGTTTAATTATGGTAAGACCCTAGGAGACAATTAGCATTATAAGAAATTTGTCCACTAAAATAATATTTAGAAATCGATGCTTATTGTCTTTTGTTCAATGTAGGAGTCAATAGACATTAACTGTGATACGGGAAATCAGCCAAAATAAATGAAGATGTCTTATTGATTTCTTGTAACATTAACTGTTATTCGGGATTTCTTGATGTCTTATTGATTTCTTGTATCAATTTATGTGTGTGCGCCCTTGAGGCATAGTGGTTCTTGATGTCATTTTGGAATAGACATTGTTGGCCTTGTTAGGCTTGTTTAGGCAACCTAGTGCATTAGGTTCCCGCTCCCGCTCTATGGGTTTGAGGAGGTAAGATGGACATAGACTTATCCCAGCATCCTGAAGGACGAACCGTAATGCCTAGGTCACATTGGAGCATCCTTATTGGGGTGCTTGTCTGCAACTTAATATTAGTTGCAATGAATTCAAAAGTAATAGCCTGACTCTTTCTATCATTTCAAATGTTCTAAGAAAGAAGTACAACAAAAAGATGGTTTTCTTATAGTCAAGAGCCAGGAAAGTAGGTCTTGTGTGGGCACTATAACAAGCTTTAGTTTTTGTTTTTTTGGCCAAGTGCGATGATACATTTATATTTTTTAAAATTGTTCTCGGTACAAACTAAAACCAAGTCAATATAATGGGGCCAAAAATTGGGATAAAATGCATACAAAAAATATATTTTAACATTTTACTAAAAATGAGGTTAATTATAGTCAATTTCAATTAAAAACATTATATGATAATTTTGTTATAAATACCATCGAGAATGTCTTTCTTTACACATAATATCATACTATTAGTCATCCATTTATCATCCATTTAGTTATATAATCAAATTTTTATAAATCCCTATAGTTAAAAATGATTTCTTTATAATGAAAATTACTATTAAAAATTAATAAAATCAACGTCAAAGTCACAAATATGTAAACTAATGGATATACCATGTGTTTTTAAGTCTTGAAATTTTTTTAGGAAGTACACCAATCCAAATGTGTCTGAAAAGTGTGTGAAAGTTAATAGTTATTTAGTTATGACTTTATTTGAATGGACATATCAGAAAGAAATAATAGGGTGGGCCTAATGAGATATGTTTAAAAATTTTAAAAACATACATAGATAATGTTAAGAATTTTTTTTTTTTGAGGTGAGCATGTGGCCCCCCCCTCCCCTAAGCCAATGATGGCTCCGCTGCTGCTTATAGTGACAAAAGAAAGAAGCAATAAAATTAACCTCTAGTGCTATTACAAAGGTTGTATTTTTTTTTTCCTGATACCTTGTTAGGTTATAACATCATTATTTTTCCCTTACATGGGTTCCCATGCGTGGTGGCCTGCAACAGAGATACATGTTGCTTTGGGTTTAATACTGTCAATCAAGGTACCGTGGAAGAAACTTATTGTGATTGGACAAAGTGAAGGTGCAACCTAAGAGGGGGTGAATAGTTTTTTTTTCCTTTCTTTTTTTTGGTTTTTGGAATCAACAACTTTTAAGTTTGAACTTGTTTATACCTTAGAAGATCTCACTGTGTGGATTAGAGTCTAAAACCAATGTCAAGAACAAGAACACAAAAGTTTCTGGTTGTTCATCACTTTCCAATGGGTGTACATCCACTTCTGGTGACTCCCCGGGCACCAAATGTCCACCAATTAGTGCAAATGCCACCTGTTTGTTTTAGCTCTTATCTTTACTGCTAGCCCTGGTGACTATTATTGATATATCCTATTTAAGCCATTCGGCATAGTATAACTGGTATTTATATTGTTGTTTTCAGTTTTTGCCCTTGCAAAGCTAATGAATGTGAAAGAAGACCAAGGGAAACTTTCTGCTATAGCAAGGTACTGATTTATGCTTCATCTGCATGATAGGCCTCATCTTCTTTTTAACAATTTGATGTTTTTTTGAGCACGCAAGCTCTGTTTACTGCTTGCGTGGCTAATTTCAATTCAACTGGCAATTATATATGTGTTGTGTTTAATGTGTTAATAACTTGTATATTTCTTTTTCACACAGGGAAGATGTTGTTTTTCTTTTTGTTTCTTTTTATGTCTATAGTTGCCCTGAATATTAGGGTTCAAAAATGCAAGAAAATGGTGAAGGTGACATTTCAGAAGTTGTATTTATTTATATGCAGGCAAGGTTCAGGCAGTGCTTGTCGTAGTTTGTATGGTGGATTTGTCAAGTGGAATATGGGAAAAGTAAATTTCTGAGGTTTATCTTTGGTGGCATATGTGTAGAGAGTATGTTATTGTTCTGAGTTATGACTCTTAATTTTTTTTACCTGGTTTTGTCAAGGCTGAGGATGGAAGTGACAGTATTGCAGTTCAACTTGCAGATGAGAAGCACTGGGATGATCTTGTTATTGTTATCGCTGTGGTATGTGCCTTGAATCACAGTGGAAATCTCCTGTACTGAAGTCTGTAGTAGCTGTTTTTGAGCAGTGGAGATCATGGTCAGTTGGTCACAATACATATTGTATGGGTGTTTATGCAAGCCCTAACCCCATCTCCAAACAAATTGGTTTGGCACTGGCATCCCATCTCTAGGTTGCCATTGTTTGAAATATTACCTTTTAGTTGTTTTGAAAGTCCTAAGAGAAGGGCTTTCTATAGAGAAATTCATTGTTTTCTTTCTGTATCATTTATTCATTATCTCCAGAGACATTTTTATTATTATTTTCTTTCTTTAACCTATGTGAAATATACATTATGGGAAAACTTACCTGATATTATTTTTTGTTCATTTTGTACATGCACAATATTTTGAGATTTGTACTTATGACATGATATTCACTTCATATCTGTCGTCTATGTGTATGATGTCTGTTTTTCTTTACTCTTTCTTTTAGTTTTTCCACTGACACCCCTAATGTTTTTTCCCTAATAATTTTGGATATGCTTGTAAAAGTTGAATACTGTTTACTGCAATGGAATTAAATCATTTTGTTTGTTGTTAAAGAGTTCTGCTTACAATAGAGGGAAAAAAACTGTCTGGAATGCAATTCTGTTTACTGGATTTAGGTTATTATGATTCTTGTGTTCTGTTGCTGGCATGGACTGTGTTTCTCAAATATATTGATGCAATTGGTTAGCGACTATATAATACACTTGACTATGTTACTCTCTGCATTTCAAGAGCAATTTATGATGTGTATACGTCGGTTCTTCAAAATTAGTAATTGCTGTGTTCTGTTTCTTCTGCACCCCTCTAATTTTATGTTTGACTGTCATAGTTGTGTTAATTTCAGGTAAGTTCACGACAGAAGGAAACAAGTAGCACCACAGGAATGCATGAGAGTGTCGAGACAAGTATGCTTATACAACATAGAGCGGAGGTACTTCATCTCTTTAGACTTTAGTCATATCAATGTCCCCACAAAATATTTCCATAAAGCAATTACGATTTTCATGGGGTATTTTTAATGTGGACAGTTTCTTAGTTATGGTCTTTGGAGTGCTCTTTGAATGATGGGCTTTTGATACATTTTTATCTGTTTATCATTCTTCTGTTGGGCTGTCACAGGAAGTTGTACCAGAACGCATAATTCAAATGGAAGAAGCCATAAAAAATCATGATTTTCTCTCTTTTGCGCGTCTGACTTGTGCCGACAGTAATCAGTTTCATGCTGTCTGCCTGGATACATGCCCCCCTATATTCTACATGAATGACACGTCCCATAGGCAAGCCTTTGCTTCTCTGTTTTTCTATGCTCATCTTGACTGTGGCATTGTGTCATTTTCTAGCTGTTTTTCGTATTACCATTGTTTAAATGGGAGTTCTAATCTAACACGGTGATGACTTCTCAGGATAATTAATTGTGTTGAGAAATGGAATCGTTCTGAAGGAACACCTCAGGTTAGTTTTCTCTGGCCAAATTATTTGGGAATTTGCTGTAGTTATTTGATAGCGCTACATGCAGATCAAATTCTTTAGAAACATAATCTCTAATGGTTGCAAGATTGAATGTATAGTCCAGTACAAATAGTTTGTATAAAAGGTTGGTTTTGGGCAATAGTTATGTTCTATAATTGAAGTGCGGAAGTGATGCACTTAGTGTAATGAAAATGCTGGTTCAAAATGCAAACATGCAGAGTGAAACACTAGTTATTCTAATCCAAATGTGAGATTCGTTTAAATGAAGAGAGACAAACTAATCTGTCAGACTGTTTTAGCTGGCGACTGGTTCTTCCCATTGCAGACGCCTTCTCTTCTTTTTGTCCCATATTCTTCACAGTAGAAGTGGTCGTGGAGAGAGAATCCCCAAGAATTCACTCTGAATTTGTTGATGACTAGTTTTGAACTTTCAAGGATGTAAATGCATTGATGTTGCAGTGGAGAGTGGTGCAGTAGAACCTGGTTTGGATAAAGTGTTGTGGCAGAGGCGGCATAGGATAGTAGATATGGGTGAAAGAGTGAAAAAGTTGTGTGTCCAACTTGTCTTTGTCTGGGATTTGGTAAGGGAAGAAGATGGCAGGAAAAAATTGGTGGGTTTTGGAGATCTTAGTTCGCAGTTGGAAGAGTAGTTTTTGGGCTAATTTGGAATTTAAAGAAACAGGCCGAAATGGACCTCAAAGCCAAGAGGCTACTACCATTATGTGTGTATTTATAATGAACATGAATTATGTGACTGGTAATTTTCAAGTAACTGGATTCAGAAGAAGAGAGAGAGGGGCTGGGGGAAGGGTAGTAGATAGATTTTACTAGTACCATTTGTAGTGTGAGTGGTGCACTTTGGAGCTCAAACACTTTGGAAGTCGCACTCAAGTTTATGGACCACACACACACATATTATATAAATTGCACAGAGCAACAAAAACCAACTGAACCTAACTTAGTTGGCCACACTTGGTTCTCTCTAGATTTTGCCAACCAAGAGGTCAAGGGATCTTTGCCAAAGGTAAAGCTTGATTTCTTCTGCGCCCTTCTTTTCGGGATGTATTGTAATAGTAAAGTAAATTGTTCATTGAAATAGTGATTTAAAAAGATGCTCTAAGATCAATTGCACAAATGATATTATGGTTGTACCGACAACGTTTATTCATTAATTAAATAGAAGGCAAGTTTATTTATCATGTTACTTGTTTATTTCATTTTAAAATTCATGATAAAGTCTATAAAGTATAAATTAAGAAGATAGTTGCACAAGGTGTTAAGAAAAAGAGACTTAATATTTTTTAGTACTTTACTCTTAAAGGTTCCTAGTTATAGGATTTCTATATGGGTATTATTTAATCCGGACAGACTATCATATACTATACTTGCTTATATTTAATATGAGACAGCTCGTCCAAGTTAGTAGTGTAGGGATACTAAGACAGTTTTATGGGTGTTTGTTAGAGAATAAGTACACTGAACATGGCCATTGACTGACATAGGATTTTCATATGAAGTTTTGCATACTGATCAATGTTAAATCCTAAATTACAGTTATGCAAATTATCCTTATACCTAAGACACCATGACTGTCTTTGGCATAGACTTCTATATTTTAACTATAAAATATATTCATATACTAATCATGTATCGTTGGGCATAGTAAGATATGCATGTAGATTTATAAGTATAAAATATGGAATCTATCAACCTTAGTAAGAAAGGTAGGATGTCTTATTGATCTTTTAGGATATGACTCAAGAAATCCTTGACCAAGTCAAAATTACAATTAAAAAAGAGATTTCAATTGATCATTAGGAGTCATCATACTAAGATCGAACACATAACATTGAGTTTAGGGTTTAATAGTAATTCAATTGGGACATTGTGTGATAGAAAGATTGAATTGCATGATTGAATGAGTTCTTTACCTACTTTGTTCTATTTGGGGGTTGATCATGATATGTTGTTAGGTGTCACTCATAATTAGTAGAAACTCGAAGAACGAAGTTAATAAATATATTGACAGAAATGAGAATGTTAAGATAGATGTGTGGTAAAACTAGAAAAAATAAAATTAGGAACGAATATATCTGAGAAAAAGTAGAGGTAGCACAAATAGAAAATAAATTGAGGAGAATCGACTTAAGTGGTTTGGACATATTTATATATGGCCTCTTATGACATCAGTGAGAAATAGTGATGATAATTATAGAAGGTAAACGTAAGGGTAGAAGAAGACCAAAATTAACTTTAAATAAAATTGTAAAGAAAGATATTATAACTTATGGTTTAACTGAAAATATTGCCCTTGATAGAGCTCAATAGCAAAACATGATTCATGTAGCTGACTACAAAAACGTTGAAACAAGACTTTGTTGAGTTGAGTTGTTTTTCATAAAGGGAGAATTAGAAGAGTTAATTCAAATTAAATTAGAAAGAATTCTAATTTGAAATGTTACTTGAAGTTAGTATGAAATGCTTGCAACTAGGTATGCGTGAACCTCTAGGGTCACATAATTGATTAGAAACTTAAGGATAAAAGAGAAGAAATCAATTAAGAGTTAATTGGGAGTGAAAACTTAATTAAGAGTTAATTAAGAGTTTTATTACAATTAATGGTTAATAAAGGAGTCATTATGTATTATGGGATAATTGCAACCAAACCAAAACTAGGATTGAGGTCATTTAAAACTCAATAAATACCCTCATAGAGGAGGCGGATGAATGAGATATACATACTCTTGCTAGCACAAGAAAATTCACCCATCTCTCCCTTTGCTCTACTAGTTCACCAAAGATTGAGGTAGATCTTTCAAGTTTGTCAATTCGTGTGGATACTGATAAATGTCAAACAATTGTGAGACTTGGGGGTAAAGATAAAATTTAAATTTGAAAATTCAAGATTCTTTGAAAAAGTTGGAGACAATTAAAAGTGTGCTTCAAAAGGCAACCCTTAATCAATGCTATAGATCGAGGGTTTTTCGGTTCGTATTAAACATTAATATATCTTGAAATGAGGAATCAATTTTATTTTTTAAAATTCTGTTGTGTTTTTTATATGATTCCTTGCAAAATATCAGCAGCGCAGCAACAATGCTTTTCTCAATTTGCCTTATGCCGATAACCCCAAAGGGATTGACCAATATTACGAATTTTGACAGGTGGCTTATACTTTTGATGCGGGGCCAAATGCAGTTCTAATTGCACGTAACCGAAAGATTGCTGCCCTTTTGCTCCAGAGCCGGCAGATAGTGATTTAAAAAGGTACTACGCTGACAGAAAATTATATAGGTTAGGTTACACTTTTTAAGTTTACACTCACCTCAATTTAGCCCTTCAACTTTCAATTTTTTCCTCTAAATTAACATCGTGTCAATTAAGGCCAATCAATGACCTTTGTTAAAAAGTTGACCAAAAATGCCATGCGATGCAAATGTGATTTTTTTCTGTCCAAGATTTAACTGCCATCATCAATCAATTGGATTTGAGTTCAAAATTGGGGGACGAAATTGAGTGATTATAGTGAGAATCGGCATAACCTACGGGGTTCTAAAGTATATTTAAAACAAATCTCTGGTTCTAAAGTGTATTTAAAACAATTATATATATGCAATTTGATATCTGATTTCACTCAACTCTCACGCAATGTGATTTTTAACTTTGCATCATTTTGTGCTATTACCTTGGATGAATTCTCTAATAGTTCATGCCTGTCTTTTCTTTTCTCCAGTTATGTTCTTGGTGACAAGTCTATACTACAAGATGTTGGGGTTCAGGACGTGAAGGATGTGGAAGCTCTGCCCCCTCCTCCAGAAATTAAGGCTAACACCCAGGCCCAGAAATATGAGGGAGACGTTAGTTACTTTATCTGCACAAGACCCGGGAGAGGTCCTGTTCTACTACCTGATGAAAGTCAAGCTCTTCTTTGCCTTGAAACTGGAATGCCCAAATAAAGGCAGCATTTTTTAGGGACTGGCTGCATTTGATGTGGTCCCTTCGAGGCTGACTCAGAATTGTGAGAACCTTGAGTACTGTGGTCTCTGACAGTGTACTGAACTGTGCTGTGAAATGATTCTGTCAACCATTTCTTACAAATTTGCAGCTTGAGTTTCATTTCTCTGGTACCAGTAATTTAGAATTCGTCTCTTATCTCATGAATGCTTATGTAATCACATAGTCGTGAATGAGTTCAACATGATAATGAACAAGTTTTCCTCCCTGAATCAATCATTGCTTCCTGTTTTTTGAGTTTTTATTGAACTTGCAAGAGCTATTATCACAAAGCCATCCAATCGGGGGTTTTAAGCTATATTTTGTGTACTGAGATGGTATGCTTGAGCATATTATATTGTGCATAGTTGTTGTGGTTTTGTTACTTTTGTATGCTTTAAAGAAGGCAATATTTAGGCTCAAAAGAGTTCTGAAATTGAAGCATTCGTTCAGGGGTTTCTTTAGGACTGAAGGGTGCATAGCCTCCTAAAGCATCGACATTCTGCAGATTGTACAGCTTCTTTGAAATGGTCACTTTTGATCTGTAGTCTGTGGAAATTGTTCACTTGTGATTAGCAGATCTAAGTTATAATTTGCCTGGGCACGTATAAGCTTGTGTGTAATCTTCTGTTCAGGATGGATGTCTGCACAGTGCTTGAAGCCGCTTCCAATACAGATCAACCTTTGAAATCATGGGTAAGAGCTTTTAGTCCCTTCATATCTGAACCCTTCAAAGTATAATTGAGGACAGGTCTTTTAGGTTCAGCATCTGTTCTGATATCCGACTTACCTAAGTCCAGGCCATCCACAATTAACTGGTAAGTCTCGATCATGTTCTTTAAATAGCTTTGTGCTTTTTCTTTGCACATAAAATTTGCTTTCTGGTATTGAGTTTAGAGGTAGTTTTGTTTTTCAGAACAGAGTTTGCAGTTAACTGTCTATATAGGTATGGTATTCAGGGAGCCCAAGTGTTACAGAAAGATTCTTGCCCACAAATCCCATGTAAGGATCAAATTCTACAATGTCGTTGGTTGTTGCTGCTGGGCGGCAAGTAGGTAACCATGACATTTGAGGTCGGTACTGTATTGACAGTTACAACTTTACTCAATAGGGGCTAATTATATTACTCCATTATAATCACATTACGACTTTAAAAAGTCAGTCATAACTCAGTTGAATTTAGGTCATAACTCAAAAAAGTTCAAATCGATCCTAAAATGTTAGGATGGGCAAGTTACATTTTTAAAAATTGAGTTACAACTCATTTGAGTCAATCTCATCTAATTAAATCGTAACCCTCAAATAACTTGATCTTATCATTGTCTTTACCCTAAACTTTATAGCATTTATGCAAAGAAAATACATTTGGTTAGTTGTCATACTAGTGGCGCCTGTGTGATCCATGATATTTTCAATCTTTTTTGTCACAATTTTATCATTCCTACCGCCACAACCACAACCACCCCACCCTCACCTCCAATTGCTACCCCCTCATCCCACTTTGACCCGACCCTACTATTTTTGTGAAAATACCAATTACTATGCTAAATTAAGAAGATGAAATAAAGTAGTTTTGTGGGAGTAGTTACATAAACCATATGGAATGATTTAATTGGATGAGATCAATACATTGTTATTAAATAATTTAAAATTAAAAAATTTAATACTTGGCGAAAAATTTTATAAGCACTATCTCTTCTAAATTGTTTGTTAGAGTATGTAGTAAATATAGATTTAGAGGAGAGTGTGTGATAGAGAGACAAAAAAAAGAGAGATGATGAGAGAGAAACTTAGGAGAGTTGAGAAATTTTAAGAATTAATTATTCAAAAAGGGCCAATAATATAAAGTTAAAGCAAATTTGACAATTTAAAAAATAAAAATTCAAGAAAATTGGGATTGGGTTTTGGAACTCATCCAAGCCAACTACATTACTATATATTATGTATAGAGAGTTGCCAAGAGGTCATCATCTGAAGTGAGGCCTAATGAGATATAACATATTTGAGTTTTTCCAACTATTATGCAGCTTGTGTGGGGCTCTCCTGCCGACCATTGAGCTCGGCACGACTGAGATGTTAAGCTCAGCAGCTGGAGAAGCCAAGCTAATAGGTAACAGGTGGTACCAATGTTAGCAGACTTCAAAAGCTGGGGAATCACTTGGGGCCAGATTCATTCGATATATTAGGCATCAAAGCACTCAAGGCAAAGTATAAACCCAAGTCTAAGGATCAAAATTTCATGTCGTGTCTATCGTGACAACCATATGTTTCAGTTTCCAAGGAAAGGGAAACAAATCATTGTTTGAAGATTAAAATTCTTATGTTTGAAGGTGCTTCAGGATGTGACCTTCAATATTTTGGAAATTAATTTCCTAAACTTTCTTCATCTCAATCCTGATCTCAAAATATTTTTGTAACATTCCAAAATCGAAATTACACACTGAAAGAGATTTTGATACTTCGCAAATTCTGAAAATTAATTCCAAGCAAACAACATTTGAACAATTTGTGTTCTATACAAGCTATTCTATTACAACATCCACAGTAATAGTTCCATGTCTAGCATGAAATGTGGAGAAACATATGAGAGAGAGAGAGAGAGCATGGGGAACAGAATGCTCACCTAATTATGCCTGCAGTAGGCTACTTTTCCCCAAGTAGCAGTGCCCTTAGGATAGCCTCACCCATACCATCAGCGTATGGAAATACATGTCCTGCACCTGCAATTTCATAGTAGTGTATCCATGGAAGTCTTTCAGCAATGTAGCGTTGCAGCGTAACAGGCACCAAGCCATCTTCATCCCCTTGCCACAAATGCACAGACCCTTCACTGTAGCGGAAAGGGTTCTTGAGATCCATGGGATCCATTCCCCAACCACTAAAACCAATCATCATGTCCCGGAAGAAGGCCTCATGTTGTCCTTTTAAGTGTTGCAGATTCCTGTTTATCAAAAGTGTGGAAATTCTGAATTCAACCAATTCAAAAATGAAGGTTTACTTAACAAGTTTTAGCAAATCTCTGTTGGATTATTTCAAAATTAACTAACTATACAGATACATAATATCTTATTCAAACTCCCCTCCAAAAACCATTTTTCAGTAATACCTTTGTCAACATTGAAAGAAGAGAAGTTTATGTGTTTGGCTATTATATAGGAGCAATCCTCATGCATTGTGTGCAGAGTCACATTGACACTTCAAGCGAACTTAGCACATCGCACAAATGCATAAGTCGCACATTTGCACAAGCCATGTGGGCGTAGGTGCAGTTTTGAACTGTCATATGTGCCAAAAGATTGTGATGGTTCTTTGTGACTCTCGAGGCAATTACTGTCTAGAAGGTTCGCTTTATTTGCTTGAAGAATCATTCCAATTCCCATAATTTCCATTTTTGTATAATCCATTTCCTATTTTTCCAACAATCTCCATAACTCCAAAAAAAGGACACGAGATCCACAACTGACAGCTTGTGTGGATTTTAAGTATTTATGATGCCAATTGTCAAAGAAGAGATGTTCATATGCTGAAGTTGTTGATCATGGTCATAAACACACACACACCACAGGCACTAAATACAGACTCTAGTAAAAGAGAAAATATTGATACCTTGGGCAGTTGTCACCCAGCAAGCTTGGGCATAATTTCTAAATCTTGGCGAGAATACTTAGCACCTCCAGACATAGCACAATCAACAGGAAATCCGTTCTGACTGGTCCACCAGTGTGTTAGCCAAGGGGTGTAGTGAGCCATCTGAAGATCCCACAGGTCTCATGGAAATTGTCGATTGACTAAAGCAGATAAATTTGCAGGAAACCCAGGCAACCAATAGTTGATAGCTGGAGCAAGTAATGCTGCTCCTGCCAACCTGTGAGCATCCCAAATATCTAACTTAGAGTGTTGAAATGTTAAAGAACTGACTAGAAATATTAGGAGGGAATGCAGTAAAAAGACCTCCACCCTAACTAAAAAGTCAAAAACAAATTAGATTTCATATTTTAGAAAGCATGATATGCATAATATTGTGCTAACACCTAGCCCAACACGATATTACTTGAATAAATAAATATGTCCGTAAATTTTGTATGTCACAAGAATTCCTTCCGCTTGCCAATTGATCGAGTTTAGTTTGAATTGCTCTAGACATTTCTTCCATTCCAGATTTACTTCCAGTAAATATAGGATTGGGAATTCTGCCAGTTCTGGAGCTTACCTTACTAAGGGGAAAGTTTTTATTTTTATTTTTATTGATTAAGAGTAAGAGGGGTGGAGCCTGACGCTTCTCAGTCACAGGAGCAGCAAAGGAATCCTCCAAAAATGGAATGAGTTTGCAATTACAATCACAAGAAAGTTCCCACCCTCGCCCACGTTACATGTTATTCTCAAATTAGCTGAATAAAAATGTATTGCATTTTCCTTAGTTGCATTTCATGGTTTTTCCGTCAGATCCACAATAGTTTCCTGTCTTAATCAAAAGATTGGATATCCCCCTCAGGTAAATAATAACAAGATTTTCATGATGGTCCAGTGAAAAATGAGTTTTGCAGTATATTACCGGTGTGGAACGTACTTGAGGCAGCCCCAGGCCATGTTGCCTCCCATGGAAAAACCAATTACATAAAATTTGGGTACTAGTTCCAACTGATCAGCAAGCTCTTCTATATCCAGAACTATACTTTCTATGGCTCCTGTCGGATCTGGGTCACTTTTTCCATAGCCTGGTCTATCAAAAGATACAAATTCTTCAGCCAATTCCTGAAAATAGAAAAGAAAAACAAGTCATGAAGACTTCGCAAAAAATCCACTGAAGTAATGACACAACTTATCAATTAACAACTGTTTATAAGAGTACTGGTATTGCAATTGGCAAATCATGGCTGGAGTGGCCAATGTCATCAATATAGACAATCTCATATTTGGCCATTGATTTGGGGACACCATGCTCCTTATAGGCCAAGTGTCTTCCATCTCTAAGCTTTATGCTGGTTGGAGTTATGGATGGACCAAATGGGGAGCCAGAGACTTTGGGAGGTAGAGGGAGAGTTGTTTGATATGCCCATGCTAGAAATCCAATCAACACGACCTGTGTAAGTTTCTTGAACATCCCTGAAAAAGATTCAAATCGCCATAAGAAAAGCACTACAATTGAGATGAAAAACACCAAAAAACTCGAATAGTAATCTAACTAGATTTTTTTGGTTTAATGAAAGGCCAGTCAATAAGTTATCTCTAAAGTAAAATTTATAGTTATATTTATTTTTGATAGTTCAGAGAAACTAATTCAATTTTTGTCAAATTAAATAGATGTGACAAAATTAAAAATTAATTAATAAATAATCAATAATTTAAGCTCAATTTTATACAGTTGAACCTAATCTTTTTTTGCAAAGTATAAAAGACTGAACAAAACCAAACGAAGAGTGTAGATCTCCCAAATTAGAATTCACCCAAGCAGAACGGATTCAATCGAAAATCTTGGGAAAAAAGCAACGAAAAACACAAAATGATTCTAGAATAAGTGAAAAATCTCAGCAGAATGGGTTGATGTCGTTTGAATTTAAACCATACAGTTCTGCACCAAAATCGTAAATACAACAACAAATTTCAACCATACAGCCTCACCCCCTGTTTTAATCTTTTGTTAGTTCTGCTCCAAAATCAACCATACACCATCAAACTTCAACCACTCAGAGCATACTTAAAATATATGGTTTCCAGACAACATGTGGTATCAATTGATTCATAAAGACTGATTTATGACTTCAAGAGATCATGGGAAAATGAAACAAATGTATTGAAGTAATTTAGTAAAGAAAGACACGAACCTCCAAGAAGATGAAAGGAAATGTTCTGATTGGGATTTTGGAGAGTGAGACTTCGCTGAAGCAGCTGGTATTCTCTTGGTAACTTGATGCATTTCTCACAATCTCCACCAGCCAAAACTGGGTCAACATCAACAATCTTCAACCCAAAAAAGAAAATGAGGGCCAACAATCTACCCCAGAAACCATAAACTGGGTGAAGAAGAAAATGCACTAGAGGGCCAAAAAGTCAAAGGGAATTAAACGTGCCAATAAAATTCCTCCAAAAAAACAGCAAAAGTTAAAGTTTCCCTCTCACAATCTTTGTCACCACTACTATTGAAAAAGACATATTGCCGACAAGCCAACCCTCCTTGGGTACTTGGCTTTTCTGATCAGCAAAAATAAATAAAAAAATATATTACAATAAAACTTTTCAACTATATCTTTTTGAATAGAAGTTGACAAAGTGGCAGATAAAGTGTTTTTTTCTCAAATTTATAATGAATATTAATCATTGTGGCTATATGAAATTAATAATATAGTTGAAATAGCAATGTAAAAAACTTAATAATTGGGAAGATAATGTGAAACAAGAATCATAGTTAAGCATGTAAAAATATAATTGGTCCTAAAAAATATGAGTAATATTATTTAAACCTAAAAATCTGATCTCATTTGTTGACTTAATGATGTGATTTTATTAGATAAAGAGCAAGTTCGAATATTTGATGAGACTCACGGTCAATCTAAAGATCACAATGAATCAAATTAACAAATAAGATCAGATTTTTAAGTCTAAATAATATTACTCAAAATATATATTTAAAAAGTGGTTCTCATCCTAAAAAATAAAATCAAGATGGGGACTAGTAATCCTACCTAACTTTGGTAATTTGTATTGGAGAAATATGTATTTACAAAAATAATTTTGACGAGCCTAAATTCGGTTGGGTCTAGGCTCAATTCATGGACTAAGCCTGAATTAACTACAAAACAGGTCAAGCCCAACTTATGAATTCGACCTAGTCCAACGCTCAAGGGGTCTAGGAAGATCAGCGCACGTGAGGAGCAATTATCGAAATAGTTGCTGTCGAAGATCACTCCTATCTTTAATTGTACATATCCTTAACTGTAGTTATTCACTCCGAAGGACTAGTCACCTAACCTTTCACGTCACTATCTCAACTAAGGCTATGTGCCTATAAATTGTAAACACTCTATCTATGAGGGAGACATCAACACACCTTTTACACGGCTATCTCTCTTATAACTACCTAACCTCACCTAGAGCTTACCATTGCTCTCTCTATCTCCCACTACTTTATTAATAAAGTCTTCCGGCCACCGTTGTCGCCTTCAAAGTGGAGTAGGTCACCCTGACCGAACCACTCTATATCTGTGTTTCTTATATTGATCTCATCTTTATATTTATTGCATTTATTACCTATATTAATTACTCGATTGTTGATTGTGCATAAATTTTTTTTTTTCATCATCAAATTTTATCAAATGCGTTGCCTAAATTTAGTGTGAACAATTGAATTGAAAAAAAAATATGAGACCTACCGATTTAATAATTCATAATGGTTTAGTAAGTAAATTTGATAATTTTTTTATTAAACATAGTTGCACTACTATGTTTTTGAATATTGTTTAAAGTCTACCGTTGGATAACTTGTCATTCTTTTTTAAAGAATTAAGGATTAAATTATCAGCTCTCTTTTTTTGTAGTTTTTTTCAATAACATTGATTTTTAATTTATTTACTTCATATAGTTTTTGTGAATAAATTTTAAAGTATGCACATAATTTTTATTTGGTTCCTAAAATTTCAAATTATACAATTTCATCCTTAAAATTTTCACCGAGCTTCAATCTAGTCATTAAATTCAAATTTATTAATTTGATCCAATTAAAATGCATCATTGAACTTGCCCATAAGGATATATTTGTCCAATAAAAAATATCTCTCTCAAATATATTGATAGTGTTTTCTTCATTTTACAAAATCTCTTAAATTCTCACTCTATTTTTTTTTTCGAGTTTGTTGTCCCCTTTTTTTCCTTTAAATGAGATGAAATAAAATGAGATTTTCTAGCCTATAGACAAACTAGTAATTGTCTGTGTCTGAAGGCAATGTGTAACAAAAAATTAAATTAAAACTCAAAAAATACTACATTACCTAAAGACTTTTTGCAACGTAAAACAACCTATATATTTGAAGTCAAGGTAGTCCATATTATTATCTAAAAATTTTGGCAAAATTTTCTCCGAAAATAGAAACCTAGAAAAATTTAAACATATATACAGAACTTACAATGATACATAACAATCATCGTAATACATCATACCATCACAATCATCAATACATATCCAACCAACAAAATATCAAGATAGTCCCTTCAATTTTCCAAACATTTCGGCGTAATTTTCTCTAAAAATAAGAGCTCAAAAAATCTAAACATGTCTACATACTTACAATCATACATAACAATCATCATCTTTCACCATACCACCACAATAATCAATACATACCCAATCATCAACACATATCCACCACCAAAATATCAAGCTACTTCCTACTAATTTCAAGAAATTTCGACAAAGCTTCCTCTTAAAATAAAAGTCCAGAAAAATCTAAACCTGTTTACAAAACTTACAATCTTACATAACAATCAAAACACCATCATTTCGTACTGGAAATCATCAATACATATCCAACCACCAAACAACCATTATTCCATACCCAAATCATCATAACCATGTATATTAGTTAACTGTACAAAAGATGGAACACAAAAAATACATACATGCACAAATAAAGACACAACTTCATCTTCTTTATAACTTACACCAAGTATCCTTCATGTATACCTGAAAATATTTGAAATATAAAATTATCGAAATATGTGAAGCAAAATAAAACAATTGTAAATCCGAAACATAAGACCCTTTGCTTTTCTCGTTTGTTGATTCAACATAATTATTGTCATCAATTCTATTACCCTGAATTATCTAAAATACTATTAGCATACACATTTGTATGTAGTGGGGGGGGGGGGGGGGGAGGATTTAGATTGATATAAGTAAGAATCTAGAGAGATTGTAAGAAATTACAATTTATTTAGGAAAAGATATGGAGGATATACAGAAAGACTTACGATCAAATAATTGAGTTCCCATCGAATTGGGTGTGATGTAGGAGAGAAATAACACATAGTATTTTTCTGTAGCATTTGAACAAACTGTCATTTGCCTAATGATTTCAATCATAATTTTTATTGGGGGCAGTGTAGTGGTGTGTGAGTTCGATGTGCAAATGTTTGATTGGTTGCAGTTGCGTGTGTGTGTGTTTGTGCATGTATTGTGTGTGTGTTGTGTGTCTATATGAGAAATAGAGAAATATAGAGATTCTCAGTAAAAGAGGCTTTTACACCTAGACAATAATTTGATCAGTAATGAGTTAGTCATCGTCAGAGGTGGACTGGTCAGTACTGAATTACAGATCGTTTGAGTTTTCTCAAAGATAATGTTATCTTTCAATAACTCTCCTAAATGTCCTCTTCATCACTCTAAACCTTCTCTTCATCACTATCATTAATGTCCTCATATTAATACAAACGCACTTTGCCCAATGGGAGAAATGCACAAACACTTAAATTATTCACATAAATAATAAAATTAACACAAAGGTCCATTGTATATACTCTATCGTTCACTTTGACAAATTCACTCCAATCCTACAAAGATTGAACCTCATTGTAAAATTAAAAGTTAAAATATTGAAAATATTACATAATTCAGTAGAAATAAACTTGTTTAAACTATACCATTTACTTGTCGTAAAAAACTTATAACAGAACTTCTGGGTAACAATATTAGTGGTGCAATTCAACCCATATTCAGGAAGGAGGACACTAATACGATCCGAAGATATGAATTTGGATAGTGCCACATAAAGGTGTCAATGACTAAAAATAGGTGTCTACAAATCAATCCCAACGAACTTGACATATTGTCCTTGGGCTTTATTGATTGTCATAGCATAAGTTAACTGGACAGAAAACTAATGTCTTGTTATTCGAAAACGTAAGTCCAAAGATGTTGGTGCTAATGATGTTCTTAGAATGAAGATTAAATTGTCAATTTTATCTCCATTTAATATTTGAGCTTCCATTACTCTTGAGGCACATCTAACAATCATCAATTGCATGCCATTACAAAGTCCATCTTTCAGTACAATATTTCGCAACAATATTATTGAGGATCTAACTTTCAACTCCAATTTAAACGGTGGTAACCCTGAAAGATTTAATGAGTTTAAGTACTCATTAGGATATCGATTCCTAATGGTACGGTCAAGCTCATCACCTTCAGACATTTTATCTGCAGGTAAAAAAATAGTTGTCTCTCCTGCAGTAATATTGAGTGTTGCAGCATTTATATCATTGACATCGTCATTGCGAGCAGATAGAATTGTGCGTTCAGTGAGAAAGGTTGGAGTCACTATACCAACCACATTCAATTGTGGATAGATTCTAAATATCAATTTATTTAAACTGTGACACCGGTTTATTGTAGATGAAACTTGGTGGAATTCACCAATCAAAAATATTATTTTATAAATAATGGTGGTCCTACATATGTATGATGATACGATTTCACAATTGCATTGAATATCTACACATAGTTGTCTGCATTAGCTTTGATGTTGCTCTGGACTAGCTGATAATTGCACTCAGAGCAATTTAGTTATATAGGCCTGGGGCGACGCTCAAGACAACTTATTGATATTTAGGGTTGATAATTTTGACAATGACAAGTTAACTTTTGTTTACGGAATCAGCCAGTCAGAATTGATTTTTAACAATCAAAGGAATTGAAAATAACACGATTTATTGACAAAAATAATAAAAGAGTTTAGTTGGTGTTCAATACAAATGATCAATTTTGACATAACCAACCCATTTAGCTTAGTTGGTTACTATAGGTAGTGAATTTTATTGAGAAAAATGATAATGCACAAAATAGTTTCGTGCAAGATCAATAGTCGAGTGTATGATAATGTGTAATTAATGGGTAATAAATAAAATAATTAATGACAGTAATATAAATATTGAATCAACACACAGATATATAGTGGTTCGATCATGATGACCTACTCCACTATAAAAAACGACAACGGTGGCCGAGGGGTCTTTATTAATCAAGCAAGGTCTTCAGGAGAGACACAATAACTAGGAGAGAGAAAATTTGTGTAGAGAGGTGTGGTGAGATATGATGGAAGATGTTCCTCCATGTGTAGAGAACTTACAATTTATAAGTATGGCGAGGCGGTAAGGTGAGACGG